TTATAATTAACAATATTATTATGGTTTTGTGAAAATTAAATGTTGATTATCAACATTTAATTTTCACAATAACAATATTATTATGGTCTTGTGAAAATTAAATGTTGATTATCACCATTTAATTTTCACAAGACCATATAGCTTCGTTATATATAGGATAATATTTTCGGGAATATAAGAAGTTGGGCAAGGGAAGAGTTATTTTGCTCTTTAAAGCATGCATGTCAAAGGTTAAAAGAATTTATTTTCTTTATCCCTTCGCATTCCCATTTTGGCAGTATAGAAGGAGCAAAACATTCTTTAACAACATTGACACACACTGTAACACCCCGTGTTACGACCCCTAAAACCAATTAATCATTTAATCATTTACCCAAAAGAAAGAATTAAATTCCAGTAATTAATTAGGAAAAGGCCCACCATAGTCCATGGGCCCTTATCCCTAAAACCAATCCCCTAGTCCTATAAGGAATAGAATTAGCAAGCTCATAGTATTTAGACCCTAATTGGGACTCTTAGGTATATAAATAGGGGCATAGGAGGCACCTAGAACCCACACCACAATAATCTCTCACCACACAAGAAGTTCCAAGAATTCCCCTAGGAGAAATCAAGAAAGAAGGAATCTTAAAGAAAGACCCTTCATAGCCAAGGAAATTAATTAAGGCTAAGAGGTAACCCATGTCTTAACAAAACATATTTTCTTTGCCATAATTATCTTCTTTGGCTTCTTCTCTACGCTTGTGTCGTGATGAATCGTTTATAATATTGATGATATGATCTTGATAATTGATGGGATAATTTTATGTGGGATCTTGATGATCTTGATGATGATAAGAGGTTCTCTATGATTATGTGATGTTCTTGATAAATCTTGATGTTTCTTGATGTTAAAAGATGAACTATGATCTTGTTGATTTAAATATGATTAGAGCCTTAGGGTGAATCGTGAAACTCATATTGTGTTATTCTTGATATATTTGGGTGGGAATTCACATGTTCGGGTGTTGATTATGCTTAGAAGTCATGATATGATATGTGTTATATGATTCTTGCTTTTGATCCGTTAATTGTCTACGTGGTGTCATCAATTGCGTTTAAAAGTGTCTAAGCATGGTTTCGGGTTCCACAAAGGATCCCGGGACGTTTATTTTGATAAAGAGTCAGTGGGGGGTAGGTGGGGGTAGGGGGACCCTACCCCCACCTACCCGCTGCCCGAAAAGGACGCCGCCGGCAGCGGGCAGCCGGCGGGCAGGCGACTGCCCGCTGGGCACCCGGTGCCCGGAGGCTTGTCGCCGGCGGGTGGACCTCCACCCACCGGCTACCCGCTGGAATTTGCCCAACTTGGGACTTTGGCTTCCCCGTTTGATGTTTCCCCGACCCTCGTGGTGTCCCAACGGACTCCGTTTATCGTGCCTAAGCCTAGTTTGATGTTTCGGGTACCATTCTTAGGATAAATGAGTCTTATATATCGCATGCTAGTTGAATTGGTATCCCGTTGGCCTAGGTGAAAGAAGTATGAACCCCTTAGGATTATTCCTAGTATGTGGATGACCACGCATAGGTTTCATTATACGTTTTCTCCCCCTTCCCAATGTGTTAATGTGGGTTGCATGTGCTTGCTATGTGTTATGTGTGCATGATACCCCAATTTGGTTGCGATCAAATTGATTATTCCTGAGCTGCGGTTCAGAAGCTGGCTGCGGTCAGAATTACACTCTCGGGCTGCGGTCCACCGTTTGGTTGCGATCAAACGTTTTACATGAGCTGCAGTTCATATTCCTGGCTGCGGTCAGATGATCACTCTTGGGCTGCAGTCCACTGTTTGGTTGCGATCAAACATTATGATGAGCTGCGGTTCATCGGTCGGTTGCGATCGACCCCTTCGTGTTGCGATACGAGGCAGGGTGGTGCGGGGCCGTGTCAGAGCTATATGCGCTGACCCTCATGTATGGGCATGCGATTGGTCCTGTGGCGCCACCAAAGTGTGCTTGTGTGATGAGATGAATGATGATATAAATGAGATGAAGTGAATCTGTGACCATAGGATATATGCTAGTATCTTTACATGCTTGGTTATAACTGTTGAATGTGCTTATCCCATAGGATATATGCTAGTATCTTTACATACTTGGCTATTACTGTTAAATGTGCTTATCCCTATGCAGGGAGAGTAGTGGTTTGTTTCTCTATCGCGAGACGGTGATATCTTCCACATAGTCAAGAGGGGGAGTTTGTTGGATTGGGCTTCCCTCATATGTGAAAAATAGCCCATGTGTGGACCAAACCTTTTTGTATCCATTATATTCTTTGTCGAGCCTTAATTATTATTATTATTATTATTATTATTATTATATATAATATTTTGGGGAATATAAGAAGTTGGAGCAAGGGATGAGTTATTTTGCTCTTTAAAGCATGCATGTGAAAGGTTAAAAGAATTCATTTTCTTTATCCCTTCACATTCCCATTTTGGCAGTATAAAAGGAACAAAACATCATTTAACAACATTGACACACACACATATGTTAATTCGGCAGAGAGGCAAGGTAGTGAAATAAAACAAAGATTTATTTTGCTTGTCTCTTTGTCTCCTTTAGTAGTTCGACAGCAGCGTGTTCGGCGGGTTTCATTCTTTGCCACATGTTTGTTGGTTTTGTCGTGAGTTTGCCAAAGTTCTTGGGTGGTATCTTCATCAAATACTTTTGAGAGGTCAGCTTGTTTGTTCCATGAATCTTTTGGATAATCTCGTAATATTTGTATTCACTTTCATCTTGTTCGTGATGGTTGAATATGAGTACGAGATATTATTCATTTTTAGCCTGGGAATGTGATAGAATGTATTTGGCCTAGAGTTGTTGTATTTTGATGATTTTTTGGATGTTTTGCTCGTGTGGTAGCCAGAAACTTTGTACCCAAGACTTGTTATAGTGGATATTGTGCTGGTGGTGGTCCCGTGGTTTGGGGTTTTCTATGTAAATCTTGTATCTCTCGTGTTGATATTTATTTTGGGCTATTGTGATTGTCACGTATTTGTGCACCTTATCGGGTTTGTGATTTTCATTGTCGCAAGAAGTGGGATTTTTCTAGATATATGATCATATTATTTAGGGAAAAGGGTTAAATAAGCCCCTAAACTTTACACCAAAAGTGAATTAGGTACCTAAACTTTTAAAAAGTGCAATTAAACTCTCAAACATGTCAAATTGAGGCAATGAAGCCCAAGAATTACAAGTTATTTCAGTTCAGGTATCAGTCCTGCGAAAATCCGGCAACCTCATTTCCTTTTAGGCAAAAATCCTGCTACCGGCGACGGTCGAGCCATAGATGGTCGCCATCTACCATAGAAGGCGACCAACTGATTGCCTTCTCTGGCGGAGGTGACCAACGGGTCACTTTCTCCATTGAAGGTGACCAACTGGTCGCCTTCTCCAAGGAAGGTGATCAGTTGGTCGCCTTCCCCAACGGAAGGCAACCAGTAGGTCGCATTCCCCGACGGAAGGCAACTGGCGCCTTCCATGGAAAAGGAGACCTGTTTCAAGTCACCTTCTCCCGCGAAGGCGATCTTTACTGGTTGCCCTTGTCGGAAAAGGCGGCATTTTGGTCGATTGGCGATGCTTTTTGGTAATTTTTTCCCGATCAATGGCAAAAAATATAGTCAACAGTTTAATTTTATCGATAAATTTGATTTATATGACCAAAAATGACATGTTTGAGAGTTTAATTGTATTTTTTAAAAGTTTAAGTGTCTCTAGGGACCTTTTTCCATATTACTTAATGTATTCATAAGTTATGTAATTTGTCTTTTGTGGCCAACGAAATATGACAAGTATAAATTTATTCAAGATATATAGTTTGTAAAACATGTGGCAACCCAATGAAATTGGTTTATTGGCTTGGTAATTTTAAAGTTTTAAAATTTATTTTTAGTGGGAGAGGCTTATTAGTTTTATTAGTTTGAACTAGTCAACTATGAACAAATTAAACTGTTTTGTCTCGGAGTGTATACTCTCAAATAGTTACGGTATGTTTCACTCATCATCCAAAACTTATATATATAATTTGTAAAACAATAAATTAAAATACTTCAATCTCGTTTCAGTATAATAATAATTATATGCTCTCAATAATGAAATATTCATAACAATGCTTTAATTTCTTTTTCAACTATCTAAGGTCCACCTGCCTTAAATTCCAAAGTTGACCTTTTCTTGAAAAGTAGGCAAATTATATTTTGGAGAACTTCCCTTGGGATGTCTTTGCCCATATTGATGGGCACCAAAATATTGACGAGGACCGAAATGGAGGACTTCGCCCACATCTTTGGATGGGGATCGACAAATTTGATTGATCATATTTTAAATTTAATTAATTATTATTATTATTTTTTGCTTGTCCAAAGCAGTCAGTTGTATGGACTTTTTGAAATTTTTTATTTTGTAAAATTTTTTATTTATGTATTTAGAATCACTAAATAAGCAATAAATGCAATATGGAAGCTAAATTAATAATAACTCAACATTAATACGCTAGTGACACTAGTACAAAAAAACACATCCGCTATGTGGGGTGTGCAATATTGGATCGAGTACGTGGAATCCTCATAGCATATCCTACGATGATGCTCGGAAGCCAGGCGAGTTTGGGATTTAATAATGCCAAACATGATCCATAACAACCGTCATAAATCCTACTCGGACTGGTTTGACATAGGGATTAGGGGTTTCCCAGGGTACCGGTAACATACCAACAACATTTTGTTTGTATTAACACTCTGGTGGCTTTGGAAATAGCAGAACGAGAGAATTTTCAATAGCAAGCATATTGGGGATGGCCAGAAATGTTATTGGATCCAACTACAACTGAATGAGATTAATAGAGCATTCGAGCGGGCAAGGGAAGCTAGTTCAGAAACAGGTAGCAAGGTCTGGAACCTGATCCAGTAGACTAAACCCCCAGAAGGTTGTATTAAAGTGAACACTAACGGCAGTTATGTCCCCATGTCCAAAAAGGCAAGCTGTGGTGGCGTTGCTCGTAATGAGCATGGAGAGTGGTTGAAAGGTTTCTCCTACGCATTAAGCTCATGCTCAGCAAAAATGGCGGAGGCTTGGGTGATTCTAAAAGGAATCAAGTTTGTAAAGACTCTTGTGAGCAACAACATCTGCTTCGAATGCAACTCGAAAATGATCACATACGCAATCTCTCAAGGAGCAAGACTTGATAGTACTATGAACAATATTTTGGATGCAAGCAGACGTGAGCTAAGCAACATTAGGTCTTGGCACCTCGGCCTCGTCCCAAGAGATATTAACCATGCAGCCGATCACCTTGCTAAAATGCGAACGAGGCAGAAAGGTTTTATCTTCCTTGATTAGCTCCCTACCGAGTTGTTGCAAATCTTAGAGGATGATAAGTATGGCATTCCCATTTTGCGCCAAATGGACGCTACAATCATGTAATTACACATTTAAAACCCACTTAAGTTGGCTTAAATTAGTTGTCAAAATGGTCCAGTGTCTGTGTCAGGTTGAGTCTGGATCAGCGCCTACTCCAGTCCAGTCTCAGCGCCAGGATGCAGTCCAGGATCAGCTCTAGGAAGTAATCCAGAAGAAGTGAAACTCATTCAAACATTTATTTTGGTTTAGACCCTACTTTCATGGCTTTTTAAATCAGGAGATGCAGCTTATTTTGAGGAATTGAAGGCTGCATTTTTTCAGACCAAAGAGGTTTCATATCATCACTATAAAATGCTACTTTGTTAAACATTAAAATTCAAGGATAAAAATCATATTTATCATTCCTCAAATCCTCCACTGGTTTTTCTATCAATATATTCGTGTGTTGAAGGTTTCTCAACTGGTTCAAGTTGTGATGAAGATTGACTGCACGTCAAGTCCATGGTGATGCTGGAGCAGTCGCTGGATCGGGGTAGTGCGCTGTGCTGGAGTAGTGTAGTTTATGCTTTACTGTGTAATGTACTCCCCCTTGTACTCCTTGTTGATCATCTAGTGGATTGGGCTGACGTGAGTGGCCCTGCAGACGTAGGAGTGAGGCTCTGAACTGCGTGAACATTTCCTAGTGCACAGTTACATTTATTGCTTTTATATTTAATTTCTTTATTCTGTCTGGAGTAGATCCGGGAGCTAGTCCAACTTAATAATTGAATTAAAATTTAGTAGGAACCTTTAGGTTATATCTTGCATTCAAGATCCACAAGCCTTTTTCATATATAAATTAGTAAAGTAAAAGACTTACTCTTGATGATACGCTGCCAATATGAATTGTTAATCCTTGTGTTCATCCATGACATGAATGAAATATGATGATATGATGTAACGACATGACAATTTATGTATGTTAACCATATCTGCTGAAATTTGTGTTGGACATGCAAACCGGATAGATGTCACTCCAAGCTGCTTACACAGCTTATTCAAAAACCTGAATAAAGGTGTTGGACATGTACATTTCTTTTTTTTTTTTCTACTACACCTTTTAAATAAAGGTGTAGTGTATTCTTATGTATTTCAATTATCCACTACACCTTTATTAAGAGGTGTAGTGTAAAGTTATATTTATATGTTCAATTTTGTAGTAGTATGACTTGTTAAGTGGCTCTTCCAAATAGGAGGTCATGGATTTGAGTCTCAGTGGGACGGTATTATTTCTTTGTTTTTCAGTAGGTTGAGAAAGTAATTATGAACAGATACTACATTATAACAGAGTTACTAGTACTAACAAAAAAAAAAAAATCTAGTGACTTGTTAATACGTTTAATTACGTACACGCTTGTTTTTTTCTAACTAGGTGTTCCGATCCAATGCAACTCTTTTTAGTTAGGTGCTTAATTTCACTATTTAACTAAGCTTGAGAGTTAATTTAAACCCTATCCTAAAGTAAAATAAATCAACCTCAAAAATAAAAAATAAATAAATCTACATTATAATCAGTAATTAAAAAAATGGAATAATGATATTTCTACACAAGCGTAAAATGAAGATTGAAGAAGATATTTATTTGCGATTTTGCGGTCACCATTATGTACAGTAGTTGACTGGTAACTAAATTATTTTGCATTCGGAAAAAATGCAAGCCACTCATTAATTATGCGGTTCATGTTAAACCATGATTTATTTACCACAAATTAATGAGTGGTTAAGATCCTTTAAATAATATAAGACCTAAATCGCTTGGCCTCTATTATTTAAACAAGATTTTACCAGTCTTGTTCTTGTTTTTTAAAAGGTTTCCAACCTAAACGTTGATGTTGCGGATATTTTTCAACAACTCCCTTATCTGATTATAATGTGATTAGCAAAATGTACACATCTATGAGTCATTCATGCATAAATACACCCACATTATCGTTTACGGGAACTAACATTCTTGAATTGGTTGACTTAGATTACTACACTCAAAAATATATCAACCACTTAATTTGCATTATTGTATGTGAATATAATATATTATTATATTATGTTTGCAAAATTTCTGAATACCAAAAATATATGGTATATATTACTATAAATGAAAAGATAACTATTTTTAAAAATTACTATCTAGCCGTACAATAGTCACAAAAAATCTTAAGTCCGATTTAACCTCAAAGTTGAATTCCAGGAATGCATGGTAAAAAAAATATATCAATTAATCTTGTGTTTGACATTTCCACTTCTGGGTATAAAATTAGGGTGTCGTTTAGATCCGGAAAATGACTTCCAAAAAACTAGTTTTTGAATTTTATCATATTTGAGTATTCAAAAATATCAAACAACAATATTCATTATGGTCAACAGAAATAAAAATGTTCAATTTGTCAGAAAATGTCTTCCTAAAATTTTTAGTTGGAAAGAATTTTCTAGATTTTTTTTTTATTACTTTAGTCTATGTTCTCTCTCATCTCTCTTCGAGCTAGTATTTGGATTATTGTTACCACCACCACCATCAATTATTATTATTAAAAGAATGATAATTATCGGGCCTATAGCAAAACACCAAAAAATTAAAATATTTTTTTAAAAAAGGAGTTTTTGGAAATCATTTTCTAAATTTTCAAATAGACCCTAAAATTAACGAGAATCAATCTTGATAATTTAATAGAATATGAAACTTGCTTAAATTTGTATAAGATAAAAGTTTGTAAGAGTTTAGGCATGAAGAAAATACATTATAATGAAGAAAAAATAATTTGAATACGGAGACAAATATAAAGTTTAGATAGAGAGAGAAAACATTCAGGGGGGTTTGGTTCATTGAATGTTAGATTGCATTAGGGATTGTTAGATTAATGGAAATGTACCCGCATGGGCAGCTCAACTGGTCATAGAGGTGAAACTTTGGAAGAATGACCAGGGATCGAGTCTCACCAGCGGCTAGACCTGGCAATTCGTGTATACGGGTCGGTTAACGGGTCGACACGATAACGACACAAACACGATACGTTATGGTTAACGGGTTGACACGGTAAACACGTTTTGTTAACATGTTTCAAGTCGTGTCGACACGATATGACACGAAACCCGTTTAATATATTTTTAAAAAACTAAAATTTAAAGTTAAGTTTTATAAAAAAGAAATAAAACCTACAGTTCAATTATCAAACAAACTAAAAAATATTCAATCCATAATATTCATAAAATGATAGAATAATATCAAAAAATCATAATTAAAGGAGTCCATACTAGTTTTTAGAATCAAATTGAACACAATAAAAATTCAAATTTCAAATTGTTTAATGGTGTAGGATCTTGGCCTAATGTAGTAAATTCATCCTTAGTCATGTTCATAATATCTTTTCTAATCTCATTCATGACCATGGTTCTTACCTAAATGACAATGGTTCTTCGCGTGTTACAAACAGGTTTAGTAAACGGGCTCGTGATAACGGGTTAACACGATAATATTAACAGGTTAAACGGGTTCTTAATAGGTTTAACGGGTTGACCCGTTAAAACACGAAATATAACGGGTCCTTAACAGGTCAACCCGTTAAGGACCCGGGACACATTAAGGCTAAACACTAACCCGTTATTTTCGTGTCCGGTTTCGTGTCGTGTTAACGGGTCGTGTCCATAATTGCCAGGTCTACCAGCGACAGTGTGGGAGCAACCTCTCAAAGTGAGGGAGGTTCCTTGTGCGCAGTGAGCATAGGTCTACCCTCTGACTAGGGATCGAGTCTCACCAGCGGCTTTGTTGGAGCAACCTTCCTTGTGCGTAGTGAGCATAGGTCTAGCCTCTGTGATGTCGGGTTGGGAGCAACCTCTCAAAGTGAGGGGGTTCCTTGTGCGCAGTGAGCATAGGTCTAGCCTCTGACCAGGGATCGAGTCTCACCAGCGGCTTTGTGGGAGCAACCTCTCAAAGTGAGGCGGGGTTCCTTGTGCGCAGTGAGCATAGGTCTAGCCTCTGTGGTGTCGGGTTGGGGCGCTTCCTTTTGGAAGAAATGTTAAATTCCTGGTTAAAATTAAGATATGTAATATAAACCTGTTTGGTTTGATTTTTTATCTTTTATAATATATATATATATATATATATATATATGATAGTGATTATATGAGAACCACCATCCCTATGAGTTTGTGAGAACCAATTTAGTTCATTAAAAAATTAAATTTATGGATGAGATTAGTTGGGGGTTCAAAATTAGTGTGTGCATATGAGGCATGTGTTGTGTGCATATCCTATGTTCACACAACACATGCTTAATGCACACACAAATTTTGAATCCCGAATTGCATATTAGTTCCTCCTACTAAAACTGTATACTGAATTATTCAAACGTTGAAGTTCTTACGGACAACTTTCCAATTCAAGCAAGTCGATCTTTGGCTGAATCATAGTCTATAATTGTGTGGTGATAGAATAAGTCTTAGAAGGTTAGTCTAATAGTCAGGAGTGTTTAGTGGTGCAATCTGATATACTCTCCTGTAACCTTTTATGTTATAACTGAATCACTTAATCTCTCTCATCTGGTATCATCCTAATCGATCCTTCCTCTCTCTCCCCTCACCGCAAAACCACCGTAACTCACCGCCAAACCACCCCAGCCATGTCTTCAAATTCATCGAAAAGGACCATTTCCACCGCCGATGGATCCTCCCCGAACGGCACCAACCCTCTTACCGGCGCTCACCACTTCATCTCAATGAAGCTCACCAACAGGAACTTCCTGTTCTGGCGTACCCAGCTCCTCCCATTCTTGCGCGGGCAGGACCTCATCGGTTTTGTTGAAGGAAGCACGCCGTGCCCGCCACCTACAGTCACCGCCACTCCCTCCAGCGACTCCACCTCTGGGGCTACCACGGTGGATCCTCTCCCCAATCCGGCGCACAAGGCGTGGGTTCAATAGGATCAGTCGATCATCTCTTCGATGTCCGACGATGTTCGCCACCTCGCAGTTGGCCGGAACACCGCCGCGGAGGTATGGCGCTCCATCTGCACGACGTTAGGGTCCAATACCCAAGCGAGGTGCCTTAATTTACTTGGCCGGTTTCAGTCACTCCAGCAAGGGAATGCGTCACCAGCAGACTACCTCGGCCGGGCGGAGCTTCTCGTCGAAGCACTTGCGCAGGCTGGCTAACCCCTCTCCCTGGCAGAACAGAACCTGTACATTCTGAGGGGCCTTCGTCCGGAGTACAGAACGTATGTTGCGTCTCTGACTGCCAACTCGCCGGTGACTCTACCGCAGATGGCGGACTATCTCCAGGAAGCCGACTTCATCCTTGCCAACGACTATCAAGCGGTGGCAGATGGCGTTACTGGCGGCTCGCATACAGCCCTGTATGCTGGCCGCGGGCGTGGCGGCAGTGCTGGTTCACATGGAGATGGTGGCCGGAGAGGTGGCCGTGGCAGCCGCAACAATAATCAAGGCCACGGTGGACGTGGCGGACGGGGTGCACCAAGGTGTC